TTATCTGATTATATAGTATGATAACAAATATTTATACATTTAATATATTTTTGTTATCTCCGTTTAAAAAATGATAGAATCCGATCAGATTGCATTAGATTATACACAATTTCAATGTAAATTAATAGGACTCTTATTTATTTACATGAAAATTGTATGTAATCTAACGTAATCTGATTATATAGTATGATAACAAATATTTGTACATTTAATATATTTTTGTTATCTCCGTTTAAAATAAAAATGATAGAATCCGATCAGATTGCATTAGATTACACGCAATTTCAATGTAAATTAATAAGACTCTTATTTATTTACATTAAAGTTGTGTGTAAACTAATGTAATCTGATCGTATTCAATCTACTATTTTAAACAGGGATACATATGTATATATTTTTAATGTAATGAATTTAATACAATATACTTATGTTATAGATGTAAGATTTATATATCCTAAAACGTATGCGTATAAATGGTATGCATACATGTTTCATACATTATTAATGTAAGATAGAGCCCGCTTAATGTCTTTTCGTTAAAAGAAAAAAGTGTACCGCGGCGCATAAAGGAACGCGGCATAATGTATCGGGCTGGAAATCTGGAAGTGGACACGGTGCGACTGTATGCGAGTCACAGAGAGGCCTTCTGACCCAAATTGATCGAGATGTAATGGACAGCGTGAGAGGGACGACGACAGATCCCGCAGTTATCGTTATTAATGGCAGCCGCGTTAAAATCGAGGATGCGAACGGCGTGTTTTATGCTAAGCACCCGATCGTCAGCCAAATCACGAAACGCGGCGCCTATTAAGCCGCCCGGCGGCCGGTGTTCGCCGATGTTTGTTCGCCGGGCGGAACAATGGCCGGCGGGATCCGGTTTCGCGGAGGTGTGCGCTTTAAAAGCGCTTTAAAAACCCACCCACGGCTACGCGCCGGCCATCAGTCGCACCCTTGCTGTTCCAGCCATGTCTCGACCGTGCTACGATCCGCGACACACCGTTAAATTTGTAGTGTTAAATTTACTTGCAAGTCGTCACTGCTCTTACTCAATATTTTTAACTACCACGTGCGGTAAAATTTATTATGTTAACACAAATTGTAGTTAGGAAAACAACTACTCTCTCGTCCAACTCATTTTATGGTTTCTTTTAACTCTGTTGTTCAATCAATGACATACTGAGTAGGAGCAGTGGCGAATCATTAAGTTAAATTTAACAGCTAGTGTGCAAAATGCAATTCCCTGTTTAAAATATTAGATTACACACAATTTCAATGTAAATAAATGAGAATCTTATTAATTTACATTGAAATTGCGTGTAATCTGATCGTACTCTATCTATTTTAAACGGGGTTGTCGACGCAAGTGACGATCGCGACAATCTTTACACTTGTTTCGCTACATCTAATAATTTATGAAACTAATTGGTGACGTCGTTGCAGATCTATCGGTGGCTGCTCCTCGTCGGCGCGATGTCCTCCGGGAAGCTCGCGGGCGGATTCGAGTCTCCGGATGCGGTCCTCGTCAACTTCCATCGCAGATACAACGTCTCGAGGGTGGCGATACTTCAGGACAACGGTTATTTACCTCCGACTCCGATTCCGGATTTCCCGCTGCCGGAAGTGATCGATAACAGAGCGCGGAACGTGGCGGTCGCGGTGATGGACGAGACCGGATACCATCCCGGCGCGTTGCACCGCCTGCCCGAGCGGGATTCCGCGCGAGTCCCCGCGCGCAAGGGACCGCACGACGCGAGGTATCCGGGGAGCGTCGGGCTGCAAATACCTCAGCATCATCGTCGACCCACTTTCCCGCTAGGCAAACATCCTCAACGGACTACAACGCAGCCTCCTCCTCCTTCCCCTCCGCCTCCTTTCAGTGAAACACCACCATTGTCCTTAGCAAACCGCGTCAGTGTGGAGGAGATGTCCTGTCAGAACACGGGAAACGAATTGTTCTTCAGGTAATGAGATTCAAAGGAGCTTCAACCCCCTCCGTCTTTCGCCGCATCTACGCCAGTCTTTCCCAAACTTCTTGAATCTAAAATGTAATATCTAAAATGTTCTCTGCGACAAGGCAGAAGAAAGAAGACTGATACCTGGCAGTAGCTAAACAATTCTATCGATCATTTAATTTACATAATATCATATTATTTATTCGAGCTTGACAATCTGTATTACGTACGTATAAGACATTACATGTGTCGCATCCGTCCATCCATAATCGTAGAGCATCCGTCAAAGCGCCGAGCAGCTCGGGCCCGCCGGTGATAGACAACGCGACGGGCGAAGACGCGTGCCGGGCGACAGCGGCCGGGGACTCTTACCGCGTTAGTTTTGAGCGGGACCAGGTCTGGGATTGCGGGGTCGTCGATTGTTCAGCGGACGGCAACCAATCGTACTGCCTCGACCTGAGATTCCCCGTGATCCCCGGTCTACGACTGCGGGAGGACCGCAGGGTGACGTTGCGATGTAAGACCCAGGACAGGGTCGCGTATCACACGCGGCGGATCAGCGTGAAAACTTTGGAAGCGTAAGACCGCGTCATTTGTCTTCCCCCGGTGATAAAAATAGCGGCCGGGCCATTCAGATATCATATCTGTATTGTGCTGCATTCAGGAAAGCGAGGAGCGTACCGGGCGTGCTAAACGGCGGCGCCGAGAACGCCCTGAATGTGGACGTGGGGCTGTTCAGGAAGACTTACGGCTCGAGAAACATTTTCGACACGAGGATACAATCGGGCGGCACGGTCGTCCTCGGCGAGGAGATTCTGCTGCGCGTGTTAGTCAACGGCGACGACAGTAAGCGCATTAGTGCCGAGCAACGGTGGTGGTACCGCGCGCTTTTATTCCTTTAGTAAGACGAATGGTGTGTCTGCAACTCTGACAGCGACTTCATGTAACATACGATCTCCGATAATTTCGCCCCGAGAGAGAAGGCCATGCGGGAGAAGTTTGTGAGAGATCAATTGTACAATTCTATTAAATTAACGCGATAAAATTGAACAAGAAGAAATTGCACAATTAGATCGTTTGTTGTATAATTTTCTATAATTATATCAATCATATAATCAATTAAATATGAGAGTGGCCTGAGCGAAAATTGTCTCAATTACACGCGAGATCTCAATTTTCATTCTTCTATCCTTCCGCGTGTTTAAAGGCTGGCGACACTCGAAGATCGGCCAAGTGACGATGCACTACGTGGAGGAGCGCCAGCGGCAGAAAATCGTTAACAGTCTGTGGATCCTCGACAAAGACGGCTGCTTGAATCCGGACGTGCACGAGATTTGTCCTCGGGAGCAATACGCTGTCTCACCGTTGGAGAATTACCTGATCTTCCAGGCGTTCATGTTCGAGGGCATGAAGGAAACCGACGAGATCTTCCTCACCGTGAAGACCACGGCGTGTCTCGAGTCCGTGGATTGTGTTCTGGATTGTCCTGCCGGTCACGTTAGACGCGCCAGAAGCGTCCCGGATCGAAACAACACCGTCGAGTGGCAGGATGACATAGTCCTGCGAGTGGTTCTTCCAAAATACGAGTCACGCGCCTCGCAGAACCATTATTTAGCGATCCTGATCTCGGCGGTCGCGTTACTCGTGCTAATCGCGTCGCTGTGGATCGCCAGGACCCTGCTTTGCCAGAGAACAGCGAAATCGCGAATAATGTTAAACGCTTAATCTACTTGTCAGCGTCTCCTACGATTGTACATAAAATATCAAACTGTACATAGCTGTATATTGAATAAACAAGTCACCATACATCATATGATTAACGGTGTCTCGTTAATCTTAAGCCGTCGCGTTTCTACGAGAGAAAGAGAGAGAGAGAGAGAGAGTCGGGTGAAGATTACGCGTCGGTTGAGATATCGCTATTTCAGATCTTATGAAACGCGACTCGGCATCTCCCACGCATCCAGTTCGGAGCACAGCTTCAGTCCGACGGCGAACAATGCGAGAGACGCGAATATGCTCTTCACGAACGGATCTCTGCTCAAAGTGTACACCATGCAAGCCAGAGAGCACGTGCATACGTCCTCGAAGTAGCTGAAGCCCTTCGTCAGATAATAATGATCTACGACCCGCTGCCGTACCTTCAATTTGCGCATAATGCGTTCTGCAATAGGAACGAATCTCGATTTGTGGAATATATACGGTGTGTGCGTGTGTACATATATAGGCATCCCTAGAAGGAAAGATCAATACGATACGGGAGACGACGATTCTGACTGAGTTTTCCCCTGAAAATAAGCTAACTTGCCTTTCTGCTCCTTCGCCAAAGGACATGTTTCCTCGCAAGCGTCTTTCTCAGGCTTGCGCGAGACGATCTGCTCTGTCGTCGAGCTTTCGAGGGCCCGCCTTGCAGATACTTCTTCCTCAGCCGGTCGTTCTTCAGGCATTGCGGTCACCGCTTCTCGCTCCCTCGGTGGTCTGACAGGTCTTTCGCGATCGATTCTCTCGTACAAGGTGGCCGCATTCCTGGAAATTTCACGACGCACCGCCCTCGGCTCCTCCGGAATTTCCCTCGCTATTACAGCGGGCAGAGACTCCTGCAATTCCTCGTCGATAAATTTCTCGTAGTCAGTGACGCTCTCCTCCTCTTCGCCATATTCCATGCGCTCCTCCGGCTCGACTAAAATTACCGTGCAAAATTACCAACGGACGGATTTCTCTGTAAATTATACCTGCCAATAATTATGTTTAATTACACTGCTCTTCCAATTCCCGCGACGTCTCCAATTCAATCTTTGTTGTTGGCGCCAATTTCATTTCGTCTTCGATAATTTCAGGTTCCTCGATCGTAATCGGAACTTTTCGTACGGGTTCCGCTGCGATTCCCTCAACGGCTCTGTCCTCCTCTTCGACGAAATCGATTTTCTCATCATCGCGATCTGCTGTCCTTTCCGTCGGAATGACAGTTTCTTCCTGGACAGTCACGGGTTTTTTGTCTAATTTCTCCTCTGTAATTAAATCGATTTTCTCTTCCTCCCAATCTATCTTTGTTGGCGGAGTGACAGCTTCTTCCTCGACAAAATCAATTTTCTTCTCATCAAGATCTACTATTTTCTCTGTTGGAGTAACAGTTTCTTCCGGGATAATTGTGGGTTCTTCAACCAGTTCCTTTTCCGCAACAAGACCAATTTTCGTTTCATCGCGATCTGCTAGCCTTTCTGTTGGAGTGACAGTTTCTTTTGGGACGGCGGGTCCTGGCACCAATTCCTTTTCTTCAACAAAATCATTTCTTTTTTCATTACGATCTATCCTTTCCACTGTAACAGTTTCTTCCTGGACGATCGTGGGTTCTGTTAATTTCTCTTTTTCAATTAAATAAATTTTCTCTCCAACGTCATCAGCGGTCTTTTCTGTGGGGACGACAGTCGGTTCCCGAGTCGGAAATTCCTCGGAAACCGAGGGTTCCGTTTCCACGTCTTTTAACACTTCAGGTCGCACGTCACGATCGACGGGCACTTTATCAACATGCGCCGCCTCGTCGGGTATGTCTCTCGAAATAACGTCCGGCGGAAGTCGTGGTTTCACATCGTTCTTCTCCCGCGGAAAAATCCCGTCCGTCACATTAGGCAATTCCTTGACTGTTTCAATTTGCGAGGGTTTGCAACGTTTACGCAAAGTATTAATTAAATTGACTTAAATAGCACAAGAATCTATTAGTAACGCGTTCAAAGACAGCCTATAACGTGACATACTTGCGATGCGGAGCTGTTCCTTGACTTTCGGGCAACTCGGGGGACATGGGCTCTTTGCAGGATTACAGGACATTTAGAATCGATGTATAACACTTCGTGCTTCTGCAGATTACATATTTATATGTGAGGCGCATTCATTATTTCCCCGATTTCGCGAAATTAGCGAAACGCGACCTAAAGGATTTTTATTATTTACGGCCTTAACATTGTCAATATCTCTCGTCGAGGTTGACAGGCAAATTTCCTACACGCCATGCACGTTTAAAGCTCGCGGTGCAATAAACCGACTCGCATCTGTATTCGCTTCGTAAATTCACAGACTTCTTGACGTGCAAACAAAATGACGGACTCGTCCGAAAGCGTCCCGGATTACTTGGACAAAAATGTATTCCCGACTTTATTAGGCGCAATGGAGGAAATGTTACTCGAAGCCGATCGCCGAAATGCATTACAAGTACAACGTTACACCGCACGCGTTCTCAATACGAAAGATATCTTGAAAGCAAATCGCTGTGCCCTGTAGACACCTAAATGCTCCTTCAACGGACTGGACCATCTCGCAGAGATACTTTGGAACCGAAACTCGCGGCACCCGAGCAGATCGTACGCTTGGCGGGACGTGTTCGACATACCACAGTTTAAGCTATGGCTAAAGTCGCAGTAAGAAGAACACACGCCCCGCACTTTCTCCAGTAAATAACGTTGTTACATTCTTTCCTAGCCCCAGGCCAATCTATCCGAAATCGTGGCTGTGGACCAAGGAGGAGGCCGCCCTGCGCATACAGAGACACGTTCGCGGGTGGCTCGTTAGAAAAAGATGGGACGTCGAGGAGATGCGTCAGTTTTGGAAGGTACTGGTACGATCGAGGAATTGCAACACGAATAATGGCTCTCGTACAAATTGCAGGTCGTTCGCGCGGAGAAAACGGATGTTCACGCTCCTGAACTCGAGTCCAACGGCGCGGAGCTTTGAAAGTCAGACGGTTTCTCTCGCACGTCTCTCTCTCTCTCTCTCTCTCTAAAATAATTTATTGCATCATTCGCCAGGAATAATTACTATAAAACATTTATTCTTAACAACTATACAAGTAGGCATTAAAACCTCACGAGGCCGCAGTCTCTTCTAGCTTTGGGAAAAGAACACTGTCCTCGTCCACACTAAAGTTCAGTTTCACCGTCGGGCTTTCGTTCTCCTCGGCGACCTTGTAGTTCTTAACGCTCGATGCCTCGAAGTTATACCGTAGATTTAATTTCGGCACTGCGGGCGCCGCGACGCCCCTCGCCCTCATCTGCTTTATCAACAACTGCGAGAACAGCGGCGGCAGGTCCGTCGTGGTGGGCAGGATCTTCATCTCCGGCACCTTCGTGTTCTCGAGGAACACGCGCTCCCGATCCCTCGGTATCAGCACGTAATCCGCCTTGTAGGTCGCGCTATCCAGCTGCACCGGTCGCGGGTTCTTCTGGCCGCGGAAGACCTTCTCCACGAGCACTGCGACCTTACGGTCGTTCTGAAACAACGCGACTGCAAGTCAGGCAAGGGTGGCGTGCAAACGGAGACCGACGTCGCGCCGTCGTCGCCGGTTACCTACGTAGGGCCTGTCGGGCAGCGGCATCCCGGCGACCTTCAGTATCCTCATGTAACAGGGCTCGGGGTACCTCTGGAAGCGGTTCCTTATCACGAGCCTGCCGACGCCGAAGTTCTTCAGGTTCCCCAGGATCTCCCAGAGGGGCTTCCCCTTGAAGTCCGTCGTGCGGCCGATCAACTTGATAGGCATCGCGCGCGACCGACCGGCGAACAGTCGTCGACCAGGGATCACCCACCGCCTCGGCTCCTCTTCTCCCGACGATTGGATCTCGCGTACCGGATCGCCCGCTCAACTCCCGTCTCGACGCGTCACCCTCAATTCTTCGTCAGACGCGGCACGTCGAGAGACGAACGTGTACCTGACGAAAACCGCGCGGAGCTTTCGGCGAAAAGACAGTGTTTTGAGAGTAAAATCTGTGCACGAGAGGTTATGCGCGATAGGTCGGTTACCTCTAGACTACGACGGCAGATGGCGGCACCGGCACCGTAATCGTCCTCGGGGCCGCTCGGGCGTTCTCGGGCGCGGTCGGAGCAACGTCTCCGTCGTTTCGAATTTGGTGCGGCGACGTTCGCGAGCGACTTGTGCGATCTTCCGATTGCGCCGGGAGGTAAGTCGAAGGGTTTTTGCCGAGCGATGTCCGAGGAGTGTCGGAAAGAGGCATCCCGACCCGTCGGTCGTCCCGTAGAGACGCACTGCGTGTCCCGACGTCCGCTCGTGCACGGCAATTTTCGGAATCCGCGAGCGGCGTACTTTTCATACGTTGCAAAATGGCGGAAGCTCGCGTCGGCGATTCGACCCCGCTCCAACGAAATCTTCCTCTCCAAGTGTAATGCGAGAAAACCACTTCGAGCCGCTATCGCCTCACGCGCTTCTTGCCCTCGGAGTTTCCCGATATTCATTTCATCTTTGCGACAAATGCGATTGCAGGTCGGGAGCGCGCGCGAGAGTCCCGGGCGGATCTCGATCGCAATCGCGCGGGACAGAGAAGCAGTCGTGGCTTACGAAGGTACGAGCCGCCATTGTCTGTCGCGTTCAAGGCGCTTTCGCCGGTCAAAGTTTCCCGATATTCATTTCATCTTTGCGACAAATGCGATTGCAGGTCGCGAGCGCGCGCGAGAGTCCCGGGCGGATCTCGATCGCAATCGCGCGGGTCAGAGAAGCAGTCGTGGCTTACGAAGCCGCCATTGTCGACAATGGCGGCTCGTGCGCTATTGCCTGTTGCGTTCAAGGCGCTTTTGCCGCCAAAGTTTCTCGATATCCATTTGATCCTTGCGACAAATATATTTGCAGGTTGCGAGACTCCCGGGCGAATCTCTCGGTCGCAATTGCACGGGTCAAAGAAGCAATTGTGGATTACAAAGGTACGAGCCGCGTTTAAGGCGCTTTGACGCCAAAATTTCCCGATATTCATTTGATACTGTGACAAATATATTTGATTGCAGGTTGCGAGCGCGCGCAAGTGTCCCGGGCGGATCTCGATCGCAATTGTGCGGGTCAGAGAAGCAGTCGTGGATTACAAAGGTGTGTGTGAGTTATTTATTAAGTCGATATTATAAATATATAATCTGTTGCAAAGAAAATGCATTACTCGACGATCCGAACGCTCGAATCACACGCTTCGCGAATTGCTTGTACATTGTAGCCTCGGCGCGCAAACGGCGCCGAGATCGTACGATCCAGAGACATATGAACAATAAAAACAAGTTGGGCATTTTTAAGTTAAACAAAACCCGCCTAGACACGAGTGATGAAATAAATGTCTCTCCGCCTTGAGCGAAATTAACTTAGAAATGTATCGTATACGAATAAAACATTAACCATTTTAGTATAAATAAAATACACATAAATATACGCCTCTCTCTCTCTCTCTCTCTGTATCTACGAAATTAAATATATCGCTATTTTTTGTTCAACCGACGAAAGATCGCGACATTTTGAAAAGAAAAGCCGAGATTGCCCAATCTCTTTTGTCTCGAACGCGACTTGAAATGGAGAAATTTCTTTTAGTAATCCACGATCTGGCGGATCCAGTCGAGATAGTGGGAGACGCGTGTGTACACGCCAGGCACGTTCGGTTGGCCGCAGCCAATGCCCCAGGAGACGACACCGGTCAGCTGCCAGCGGCCCTGATGCTCGCAGACCATCGGGCTGCCGCCGTCGCCCTTGCAGGCGTCCTTGCCCTCCTCGCCGCCGGCGCAGACGAAGCCCGGGTGGAGACTGAAGCTGGGCCCCAGCCGCGTCCGCCTCATCTGCTGCTCGCACACGTGGTTGCTGATGACAGGTACGTCCACCTCCTTCAGTATGTTCTGGTATTTGCCGAAGTCGCCGAAAGCGTCCTTGCCCCATCCGGTGGTCCAGCATCTGCCGCACATTAAGATCGTCAGATTTTATATTTCAGATTCAAATAAAGCCACCAGTACACGAAGAGAATTTTCTCGTACAATTTAGCTTGAAATATCGTGTAATCGTGGGACAACATGGCATTTTGAAGAACTTTATGAAAGCTTTTTGAAACTTGAGTTCAAAAAAACTTTCATGAAGTTCTTCAAAATGCCATGTTGTACTACGATTACATTATTTTCAGGGTAAATTTTAAAAGAAAATTTTCTCCGCGTGGCAAAGCGATTACGAGCAAGAGTCTGTCTGGTTTATTTGACTCTTAACAATAGGTCCTTTTCAATGCAATATAATCATATAACTCTTTCGTTATTTGTATGTTTTCTCTAAAATGTTATCTACTACTTCTTCCCCCAATAAACATATTAAGCACAGAAAATAAGAGACAATCGATTTAATGGTAGTGCCACGTTTGGTAATACCAGGTTTGTACAAACTTGAAAATTTTTTTAATACTTGAAATATCATCAAAAACGCGTTATAGCGTGTAACAATTATAGTCCTAAACATACGGGCTCGAGGGAACATAAAAAAAAGTGTCTGCAAAAATTTACAACAGTTTACGAAATTTTTTCGTCGCTGTATCAAAGTCATTCAAATCTAGAGAGTTATAAGAATCGGAATGAAAATGTACTAGCTTAGAATTTAGGAGGGACTCTCGCGATTGAAAAGCTTTTTAAACAATTTTCCCCGCGGCGGTCTGTGTCTCGCTTTATAAACTATGATAGACGCACCTAGTTCCGGTGAAGTCGTCGTGCTTATCCGGCAGACAGGCGGCGCTAATGTGAGGGTTCTTCGCGAAATCGACGTCGTGATCCAGCTTCAGAATAGCGATGTCGTTGGCAAGAGTGCCGGCGTAGAACTCGGGGTGCACGAAGACGCTGACGATGTCGCGCTCGATGTAGGGGTAGAACTCGACGTCGTGATTCACGTCCCAGTCGCCTAATCGTGCGCGAAGGTCACGACCGGCGTGGGTCTTGACGCAATGAGCGGCGGTGACGATGTGCCGGGGCGAGATCAATGTGCCTCCGCAAACGTAGACGCTCTCCTTGGTGTCCTTCTTCAGAATAGCCACTTGCCACGGGTATTCGCCTGAGTCACGAAAGATTTAACGTAACGACGATACGCTTTAACGTCGCCGTGCAATGGAATACTAAAAATTTGATATTTACAATTACGTATGTGTGAAAAATACATCTCAAATTGCCGAGTAGTAAACTTGCAACGTACGAAATTGTATACCGAGTATTTAAAACGTGAAAAATTTATGTTCGAAATTTAATATTATAATAGTAATATTAAATTCGCGATAACAGGGTCTGGCCAGCATTTGGGAACGTTTCATTAAAGCGATCGTGTATCTATAAAATTGCGCTCGGCGAGTGATAACATCGGTTAGACGTTTGCCATTCCGGAAAATGATGGCAAAAGAGAGGAATCGTTTCCTTTTCGCGCCGTCTATTCCCAGGACGGCGTGTATTTCACTGAAATGTCCCCGGCTCAAACTATTGACGCCTTTTCTCAGAAACGCTATCCCGTTCGGTGAATTGCGTTAGAAGTCACGTACCGAATTCAGAGTCCCCGTCGACGTAGACCGGGGTCTTGATGCGGCCATTGATGCCCTGTGTGTTCCTAACTCCGCATTGACCGGGTCGCGGGCGTGCCCCTATTACGTGCGATTTCCGGCAGCAGACGTGATGAGAACCGCAAGCCTGCGGGCGGCCGTCGTATCGTCTCTGCGAATAGAAAGAGATGATCGGTCAACCGACTGGCCGTGCCGACGCAGCCGCGCACGAGCTCTACTTATCGTGTCCTCGACTTCTATCTGTGCTTATACGCCGCCGCTCAGTTTGACAGTCCCGCGTTTCGTAAGTTCGCGGAGTCGGTGATCGTCGTCCCCGAGTCGTTCGCCCCGAGGGCCTCAGCCTCTCTACAACGGCTCGTTATTACGACGGTTAAGTCCGCTCGGCAGAGCGAGCGGACCAACCGACCGTGTCCTTACCTCCGTCGTTTCGCTAAACGTCGTCGCCGTGTCGCGACGTCTCCTTCTGTCCGAGAAGGTAATCTTCCCGCCCGTCTGCCGCTCGTCGCTGACCGGTCCTCGCGGCGAGGCCTTCGGCGAAGCCTTCGAGGATTGTCTACCTTTCGTCGTCGACGCGTTTCTCGCGCGAGCGTTCCTATAGTAATCATCCTGATAATCGTCCGAGTAATCATAGTCGTTGTAATCGTCGTCGTCGTCCTTGTAGTAGGAGGGATAGTATCCGCCGTGGGGCTGGTAGTAGCTCGGCTCGTGATGGTGAACACCGTGCGACGGATAGAACGGCGGTCTCTCGTACGGATAATGATAGATCGGTTTCTCGTGATGCGTGTGATAATGAGGAGCGTAAGCGCCGTAATTTCCGCCATAATGACCGCCGTAATGACCGCCGTAATAACCGCCGTACAGGCCGTGTTTCTTGTGAGCCAGGAGGTGGCCTAGCTTGTGAATAAGTCCTGGATTCGGCGTTACGTGCAGGTTCACGTAAGGCTTCACCACCTTCTCGCCGTACTCGTCTTTGGTGACCTGCACCGCCACGAGCGGATTCACGGCGACCGGGCCGAGATTTATGCCCTGTCCGCCGACCAGCCCGTAGCCCGGCGTGTACCCCGGGATCCCCAGGGGATTGCCAGGGTGGGGCGCGACCGGACCGACACCACCGGTCTGCGGTAGGCCGAAACTGACGCCCCAAGTCGGCCTCACGTTCAGTTTCGAGGTGTCCAGATTGCCGGTTCTTACCGTCAGTCTCTGCAACGAGAGAGTCGAACAAATCACGTAGCACCGAGGTCTCTTTCTCTCTTTCGTCTCGATCCCGTTTAGTTTTTTTTTTCCGGGAGGATTAGCACGTTGATTATAGCCGAGAATTTCCCGTAGCCTTTCCTCGCATTCGCTTGCGCCGATTATTAGAAGCGTTCGTGCGACTTGGGTCGCACGAGTCCCGGTGTCCTCCGCTACGACGGCTTCTAATCTATCGTTTCTAGCACGGGCGTTTAATTGCGTGTGGCTGGTCTAGGACGAACCGACTGACGGAGCGTGTCAAACTGAGCGATATCGTGTTAGAACAATAGCGTTATTTGCTGCAAGTGGCATGCATTTTACACGACAGCTTAAACGATACGCGAGTCGAGCTTCCGATGCGTATCGAATAACTCGGATCGATGTTCAATCCAAAATTTATCACCTAGCTAAACATCGCGGTCGAAGGTCTGCTAATTTGTACGTACATCGATTGTCGCATCGTCCGCTCGGAACTCGCAAGAACAGCGAGAGAAACGGTCCGTGTCAACTTACTTCTTGTATCACCTGCTCGTCGTCCTTCTTGGTAACGTTCTTGACATCCCTGCGGTTTCGCTTCGTACCTTCTGCCGCCCCGGCCCCCTCCGTCCACTCGTTTTTCGTCTCCTCGATCTGCTCGGTCCCGTTCACCCCCTTGGGCACCCTCGCGACGCTCATTGTTCCGTTCCCGTCGGTGATTACCACCTCGACGGTCTCAGCCTCGATATCCTTGTCGAGATTGCGCGGATCGATAGCCAAGTAGAGATCGTCCTTGCGGCCCACGTTATTGATCGTCGCGCACTGATCGTACGGCACGCACACGCAATCCTCGTAAGACGTGGAACCGAAACTATTGTCGGCGCCGTTGTTGAATGGATAATCGCCGTCGTAACCGCCGTTCCCCAGGAATTGATTATTAACGCCGAGCTGTTGCCCGCCGGAAGCGAACTGTTTGCCGTTCGGCTTCTCGTAAGCGGGATAACGATCGACGTAGCCTTTCACGGGGGACAAGGCGGAGGGCAACGGGCCGCTGTTGCTCGCGGGTGTTTTGATCTTGAACTCCTTCTTGTAGTCCTCGAAATCGTTGATCGTGGCGCCGAAACTCCCGCCGTTCCCGTAGCCATAACTGCCGAGACCGCCGCCACCGAGCACGGGGGATGACGCGACTACGGCGGGGCTGTGCGCGCTGCCACCGGCGTCCCCGTGATGGTAATGATGATGAACGTGCTGTTGGACGCCCGAGGCACTCGGTTGATGCAACACCGCCTGCTTCTTGTCGATGAACGTGTCCACGAAATCGGGTTCGATGGTCTCGTATGTGGGTTTGGACGGGCCCAGAGGGATAGGGAAACCGGGTTTCTTGTACACGGGATAAGGCCCGAAGCCAGGCGGAGGTCTACCGAACGTCGGTCCGGGTCCAGGGTAAACCCCGGGCCCCAACGGCGAACCGAAACTCGGAGGTAGTGGCACGGGCTTAGCCGAACCGTAAGGCCGCTTTACAGGTATGGCCGGAAGTGGATGGCCTACCGGCCTGATGGTCACCGGCTGAGCGTAGATGACGTCGTGCGGATGAATGTCGCGGTGAGGGGAATAGTAAGGACGTCGTCCTTCCACGTTGTCGCACTGCGTAAAATGACCAATTGTTAGCTTATTTATAAACTCTTTGTCATGTTCTAGCACGTAAAATATGGTTCATGAGCTTTCAAGAATCTGCACGCATCGATCTCTTTCGCAAGGTCGTATCTCGAGTTCACGCAATTTCTGGTCTTTGTGCTTAAACGCTCATCCTGGTCCAGAAATTGCGCAAAATCGAGATACGACCTTGCGAAAGAGATCAGTCGATATTTAGTTAAGTAAGATGAAGGAAATTCGAACCGTTAATTATATCCATATTGGCAATATAAGGCAATACGACGGATAGATTGTAATTTCGAGCGTTAGTCAAATAACTTTAAAACTTCTAAAGCAGGAAAAATTGATTTCAAGAATGACAATTATAAAACTGGGCTCACGTTCATCAAACCGAGGGAGCAGAGCTTGTCTTCGATATAGGAACGTGCGATCGTGTCGTTGCCAAGATCCAGAGCATTTTTTACGTTAGGGTCAGAGTAGACTTGGGCGTATCCCTCGAGGTTGCGACCTTCCCGAATAGACACGAGAATATTCTCGACCACAGAGTCAACCTACAATTGAAAATACAAAGAGATTCATAAATTAGTGCTTTTTAAAATGCTCATTCATCAACTTCCTGCCAGATATTACTTGGACAACAATTTATACTTCTGATTTTAATTATATTTACCACGTTTAAATGTTTCGCGATGACGATAAAATCCTTACCGATTGCTGACCGGCGACGTCGGCGACTCCGCTGGCGCCCGATTGAATATTCGCGTTGTAAAATAACGGTTGTTGCGACTCTTTCTGTTGCATGTCAGAATCGTCGAACGTGACGGGACGATGCTTGTCTTGGTCCCCGTTCGACGCTTGGATCAGGTCTTGATTCTTCCACGGCTTCCATTGTTGTTGCGAAGTGTCACTCGGCGTCTCGTACACTTGAGTACCAAATGTTTGCCTTGCTATCGCTAAGCAAGCTATCAGGATGAATTGCGTCCTCATCCTGTAACAGAAGACAAAAGGCTCAGCTTTAGCTCCATTTTCTTGGACCAACAGACAAATTGTTTTCTTTTTAGCTTGATCTTTGACGTTTTTATTATAATTCATAATTTTGATTGAGTTGCTGTTTAATCTTATAAAAATGTACTTTTTGACATATGCTCTTATTATAGTCTTTCACGTACTTAAATTTAATGCAATTATTTCATCTCGTCACTTTTCTTTCTACTGTTTTCACTTTATTATTTTAATTAAATCCTTGACGCAAAGCGCCTGACGATTTTCTTCTCCCCAATCGATCTCTCGACAATTTCTCCGTGAGTACCAAGCGTGGTTCCACGTGAAAGTGCATCTCGCCTTTCTCCGTTCGTATTATTGTTCATGACAGCTGCGGGACAGCTATTTCGAATCGAAATTGGGTCAAAATCGTGGAGAATACGCATTTGCCCATCAGTATAATTGCAATCTACCCTAAAATCTTTCAGTGTAATGTAGACACCATTATTTCGGCCTATGGTGGGTAATCGACGACTTTCAGTGTAACTTTGGTTGCTCCAGAGAACGACCGAGTCTTTATCTCTTATCAGAATAACATTCTTACTCATCCACGTGTGGAGACCGGTTTCCGGTAACGGTACTGGACTGTCTTGCACGAAGACGCATACACGCGTGTAGTTAAACCGAGGAGGGACCAATGAAAGCGAGAGGAAGTTGGGTGAAAGTCGTTTGGCCGGTTCAGGTAACATGACGTCTCTCGCCGAGCACATCTTCTCATATTATTTTACACTTTTCGAAATCGTTTTGTCAACGGGAGAAAGCAATTGCGTAACGAGCGCGCTATGACGTCCACTCGCGCGGGCGGGGCGATTTAAATTTCAAATTAGAGGCGAAGTGTCTCCGTACGCGATTTAATGTTTGCGGTAGAGCATTTTTAGAGCGATCATCACGCGAGGTTTGGACTAGAGTCGCTACATTTGGCAAAGATACAGATAACGCGTCGTGACGTGTCTTTTATTCAACGCCTACGACAGTGAAAGTAGTTATGCGTTGCGTACGTGCGGATAATTTTAATATTTTACTTTCCACTTGCCTTGACGTCTCGTTATACCGCGAAATCGCATCGGCGCTCTACGACATTCGCGTATCGCGGCTTCCTCTGTGACGTCCAAGTTGCGAGTAACGCGACCGGCTTTATATTCTCTTTAACCATCCTCCGGTGACTCGCTTCTCACAATAAATCAATTATCTCGAAGTAGGCCGCCAATAGAACAATCCTAGACCACTCGACTCATTAAAAGTTTTATGGCTACACGAAATCTCTAGCATCTCCATTTTTACTACTATAAGCTGAGTCGTCGAATTCGCCGCTCGCTCTCTCTTTTGAGAATAAAAAAAACAAAACGTAAAGGATTATTTAACGCCAGTAGTTGATTAACCAATGTAGAAAATTGCATGACGACCCATGGCTGGCAAATTCTAATTAAAGAAATTAATTGCGAAAAATAATATCTCAGCCAGGGTTTGAACCTGGACCTCCCTACACTCTAGGCGGGCGTCTCAACCAATTCGACCACCGAAGCATATAGTAATATTTATCGCAATAAACAGTACTACTGATGATATCCTCGCGATTATTTTTCTGTTAGAAAAACAAAATCTACAAAATTTATTTTTCTGCTAAAAAAAAACAAAATCTACAAAATGCCAAAAATACTAAAATTTTTCAAGTAAAACTAAACGTTTCATGTACTCTGGTTTTATAAATCGGCTAATCAAGTAAAAGTTGACCGTCGATAGCTTATTGCAATTAAACATTTGTAGCAGAATGTAGGGTAAAACGTCTTTAGCGTACAATAGTGGATCGGATACGCTTGACAAATCCGCGAATCTGAATAGGGACAATGCGGAGGCGGTATTTAAAGAGGAGAAAGTTTTTATATATCGCACGATAGAGCGACACGCGCGTAGGCGAGCGCTTTTCACTCCTAATTTCGATAAAGTCTTTTGCATTTTATGAAATGCACGTATCCCAGTGCGCGTTTGAGAGATATATTGGAGAAATCTGAATTCTCCAATTATTAAACAAATAACGGTGAGCGTATGCAAATATATAGTCTCTCGGTCAATCGGTAATCGATAAAAACATTCCTTGCCGCGATCGCTGTGAGTCGCCGGGCGCGGAAAAATATTTTTCCTTCTGAAAAATAATATGATCTCTACCGAATTAGACTACAAGTTACTCTGCGATTAAACATGAGCTTCCACATCCGTTTTTCACGTTTGGTTTATATTTTCGAGTAGTTTACTTCGAAAATATTTGACTATTTACCGAAAGGATTATCCGCATAATTACTTACATCTTGATTTTTTAATCAGCATCTGGCAAAGTAATTCAAAATTTTCTCTCGACGCGAATATGAAAAAATGTTTTATTATTTACCAATGTGTTTTTTTTCTAACGTTACATGGATACCTTCGCGATTGTTACTTATACTTTCGTACGTATTAAAAAAATTTTCACGAAACTGTAGCGGGAACAAAATAGTCTCTTACATTTTGAAGAAATAATATCAGCAATTGTTAACCGTTTAAAAACACATACCTGACCGTTGTCTTCACAGATGCACCCGCGATTAACTGATTTTCTCGGTCCGCGACCGTGTCTTATACTCGGACTCTCGCTCTCTAACCGAACACTTTCTCCCTGCACGACGCCCGCTGTCTGTGCTTTTACCGAAGTCGTCACGAATCTTATATACAAGCCGTCTCTTTCGGGGATGCTGGGGCCCGTCACGTGAACCACCGGTGGGGTAGATCCATGAGTCATTCGACGATAGGCGGACATCCGTCTTCGTAACGCTTCTTCTATCAGACCGTGAAAACAAAGAGAATCTGGGGAAAAAAACGGGTAACTCGAGCGACGCAGCGCGTACCTCGAGTGGGTCAGACTCGTATCTCTTCGTCGCATGAATACGAAAATTGCATCTCGTTTTTGCTCCGCGACGCCCTGTTTTGCGATCTCACATAATGAGAAACGATATATCGATGGATATACATATACATGGGCAATCATATTTTACATTATACTTGCTGCTTTCTCTCGATAGCATTCGGAATATTTATTTTATCGGGAAAATACGAAGAATACAATGAGCTCCACCTGCGGCACAGTTGAAATTTAAATAGGGGCTTCGGCAGAAATTTACACTGGATAATCCATTAATCCTGTACCGTGAAAGAATAAAAATTGCATATTTAACGCGATTTCTGTTAAACACATATCTTATTTCAACATTTGCAGTATTCGATTAAAAATTTCCATTTGTTCCCGTGAAAAATTCTGTCGCGCTGAATTATTTAGACAAATTAATACTTGATTGCTTTATGACTAATTGCAATGCATTGTATTAAAGACCATGTAATATTTATAATGGCGAAATTTATAACAAGTATCGAGTGAGGGTATTTTTAATTATCGCACATACCGTGCTGCCCACGTAATTAAAAATAAAACAACGTATAGAGAATATTGAAATATTAATGTTTTAATATTTTCCGTACTAGTTGCTTTCTTCGAGAGCACAGAAGCGACCGCGAATGTAAAATGTCATTAGACGCGAAGAGGTCGACTCGTATGGTCTTTCGTAAAATCAGTTTGCCACACAATTCCTGGAGAACACCGAATGGGTTTTTCTCGTACATCTGACGTTACGTAAGAGACGTGGAACGTATACAAATGTAGAGCCGTTGTCTGGCATTTAATAAATATTTAGAAAATGAATTATGCCTCGCATAATTATGCTTTACGACATTTCGGGCTTCTCGTGAATGAGATTACGTAAAAATTACCTTACTCGGATCACCATGCCCGAGGTTGCCTCACGAATAATAAATTTATACCTAGGATTCGGTTAGAGGAAACTCTTTGATATCAGTGTCGCAACCGAATACTCCGAAGACGTCGGTACGATCATTCGCCTAAATTATTGCCACGGTAATCCGCGTGACGATGATAACATCCTCTGGTCGAATTCTTAGACTGACGTCCGCGCTCACGATTGTGCAAGAAGATTCTTCTCAGTCCTTCATGCCTCTCCCAAAATAAATCGAGGAAATGTGCCGGCCCGGCCACTTTCCTTTCACGGTCATGAGTGTATCGACCTTGACACTCCTCGGATCATCGGGTTCCATATAAAATAATAATTTTCATTCTCGGCCGCGGTAGAAAGTGAAAAAGCGTACTTCTCGACGAGCGACGTCTCCCACGCCCTGCGAGAAAACGATCGAGTATCGCCCATCAATCAGAGCGCGATTACGGTGTACGCGACATTGAAAAACGAAGCTGCTCTTAGGGTTTTAACGCATCGCCGAGCTAGCTGCGTCCCGTACACAATTAGGCCTCGGGTGAAGATCCGGGAGAAAGTGCTCGCGGCTATGCTCTAAGGGTCGCCGTCGTGGGTCAATGAACTTTTCACCGTTTCGGGTCTCGCGGGAGTTTCTACGTCCGATCGAATCCCGCGGTTTAGTCACCGCGAGGAAGTCGGCGCGATCCCGCATTTTCGAAAGAGTTTCCACGGTGGGAATCTTTCAATTTTCGCCAGCCGCGGGGTGAATCGCTCAAATTCGAAGCGGGAACTCCGGGACCCTCCGAAGCGCACCCTGCTTTTTCTTTCCCGTCACGTATCGGTGATCGCCGCGCTGATCGCGACGATGTCGATTTCCTTTCACAGGCCACGCACCGCGTCGTTACGCAACGGGGTTTTCCGCGGCCTTTCGTAACTGGGAATTTCGCGACGCGGATCGCGCCGCGCTAAACCGCGCGTGAACTATCTTGACCCAATTCAGACATCCTTCTACGTTTTCTGCGCCGGAATGCAAGTGGATTCGATTCGCGGCGAATAGCGCGGACAATAACTTCGCGTGCAGACAATAACTTGGCGCTCGCGCGTCTTCAGCCTCCTCCAAAATGCATCCGGTTATTATTATAACGCAAAAATTATATGAATTTTTTATAAGCTAAGGCAGCTCCCGCGGTAATCTATTCCGTGCGAGAGAGAAGCGATAAAGAGGATCAGTCACGACTACGTAATTTCTTTCGAGGTTGTCGGGGAAAAGAAGGAGGGGGAGGGCAAGGGTTTAGAAAATAAACGCGTCGACTTTCACAAAGTTCCTTTTTTTTTTGCGTGGATGAGGTTACACGATAGACGATGATTATCGATGAGGAGACAAGCTGCGAGCTGCTACGCATACTTCCACACGGGCTTCACTGAGGTCGACGGCTACCGGTCTGATGATTTTTGCGGTCAGTAGGTAATATGGTACCCATGTTGCTCGATCGAGTAACTCGACGGGATCTCCGCGATCGGCGCGGAGTAATAAGCGTACGGCGATACCTGGAAATAACGAGAGAAACAAAATGGGGGGAAAAAATCGCGTCTCGATCTCTCGGCGCAATTTGGTCACGGAGAGCGATAAGCCTGGAAATGTAAAGGAAGGGAAGGGAAGGAGATTTCCGTAAATGCGTAAGGTCTGCAGTTCGTAAAAATCAATTCTTTAAATGCAATCTCGCGAGCGCTCGATTCTCGAATCGAAGCTGCCGCCGTCCCCGGTTCGCTGGATGGCGCTGCTACTTTCGGGAATCGAACGTTTTTGCGAGGCGTGAGTCGATTTTCGAATTCCGAAGGGATAGATCTACGCTCGAGTTTTCTTACCTGCGGGAGAACGGGCGCGGCATAAGCGATGCGGGAGATCGGCGCGATCACCGGGGTCGCGATCGGCGCGATCGGCGCGACCAGCGGCGTGAGCTTGGCGGTCGACGCCGGGGTTTTCAGCTCGGAGACGAGGGTGAGCGGCTTGGGCGCCGGCGCTGGCGCGGACCACGCCAGGCCGATGAGAGCGGCGAACAGGATCTGCAAGTAATCGTCCTGTGAGGGAGGCGCTCGCTTCTTATTTAAATTGGAAAACTTCCGGGCACGTCGGTGAATATAAGTAACCGTTGAACCGCGCGCAGTAAACGAGTCTACGTGAGGCAAATATCGTCGCAGGAAGACACTTCCGGCGAGCGAGGAACGCGAGTCGCGACGACTCGAGGACGTTCGAGACCGAGATGGACGATAATCGCGAAAATTACGACCGCGCACGATTTTCCCCGCTGATTTTTAATCCGCCCGGAATTCGCTGCGGGTGCACTTGGCGCACCTCTCCCTCCCCGCGAAATGCCGGATTTACTTACGAATCGCAGCATGACGGCTTCGGGCAAGGATTCTGCGCGGATGCACTCGGGTACGATACTTGGTGTAAGTGCCCGCGCCAGCCTGGCCTCCTCGTACTTATAGAAGTCTCGAGGGATACCGTAAAAAGTAGACTCGTCCGGCACTACAAAAGTTCCTAACTGCCGTACCACCGCATTCCTCCCTGGTCTCAGGGACGGGCAAGCCTATGGTTGCGACGTGACGCGTCCTAGCTCCAGGACGCACCGATCGTCTGCATATTCTACTTATAAATTTACTACAACTTCTGGTTGCACTTATAACACACTTATGACACACAAGTAGAAAACGAAAACCAAATCAATGGGATTCGGGAGTAATACGAGAGTCTAAATTTTTGCAAGGTCCTGCTACCCGATTGCTTCTTAATTGCTTTGATGCTGAAGATAACCCAAGGAGAAGAAAAAGTCAGGATGATGTCAATTTGATGTCATATTGACCAAATTTATAACAAATTTGGTCCCAAAAATTTGACACAAATTCGGTCAATATGACATGAAATTGACATCATCCTGACTTTTTGTTCTCCTTGAATAAGGGGAGGTACTTTTAAATATTTTTCGACGAGAGAAATATCACGATGAATCTGTTGCAGCGGCAGAAACAATACTGTTTACATTATCCAGATGGATATTCAATATTTAAAATCTCAGGTGTATCTTCTTAATAAAATGTAAAGCGCAGATTTCTCCCCGTTCGCATTACGTTTCGTTAAATATACAACGGGTAAGACATGCACGACAGAACACCACATCGATAAGAATAATGCCTCGTCCCGAGGAACGTTTCTTCCATTACCTCCCATTTCTATTTCTTCCTATTTCGAGAAACAATCCTTGGCGCAAGAGCCCTTCGACTTCGCATTTTTCAATTATCGATCCACGTCCCTCGGACGCAGCACGTACGTTTTCGCTGCAATTCTCCCGTCGGTATTTCCTACGGCGAATGTGCGCGTATACATTCCCGGTGTCCGTGTAGGACGGGCGTGATTTAAGAAAGGGAGACGCGAGAAGGTTCGATAGGCCACGGCGCGACTCGGCTACGCCGCGCCGTCTCTTCGGATACACAGCGCGATCCGACGATGCTTTACAACGCCATACGGCGCACCGTAGACCAGGGATACCGAAGCCATTAGCAACACTCGCGAGTTCGTTCACCCGAGACCTTGAGGATCCAGGCGTGCATATATTCGAAGGCAATCGCGCGGCAGGCAATTTATGTCGAGCTTACGGATGTTGTGCCATTGATCCAGCGGCAAACTCGTTGACAGGACGCACAGGCCTACATAATTTGCGAACGCCAATATCGAGAAGATTTCTATTAGCGATAGAAATATACGGATAACAAAATAGTTTGGATACAGGAGAAAATAGCTGGGACTGCCGTCTTCCTCGAGTATGTTAAATGCGTCTGGACATGGAAATGCGTGAAAATTTATTGAGGAATTTACAGCGAGTCGAGTACGTTGAATACAATATTTTGGTTTAGTACAAATGTTGACAAACGCGATTGATCGGCCTCTTTCCCAGGCCAAAGACTGCCAGTTTCAACCCGTTTGTCGAGTCACGCGACGACATGGTTCCCGAACTCGGGATAGTTCTTAGGGCGATCTATGAGAACAACGTCGCTGCGAAAATAATCGAGAATGATTTCGGATGAACTGTAGCGAGCAAAGGTTGATGTAAAGGATGATCCTAGAACCCTAACGAGCGCAGCGTAGATCGACAGTCTCTTCAAATTCATAAAGCTCACGAGAACAGAGAAGAATTTCTACTTTCCGTTCAAAGACAGATTAATTTTGTTGTAATAAGACATTCTCAATTGAAGTCGCGCGTTCAATTTGATTCAAGTATCAACGCAATCGCGCGATACTCGAAATTTGGTTCCGTAAATCCACGCGTGCTCCTTAGAGTCAGTCGTTTGATACTTCGCCCGGCGATTATTACGCGTGTTGAACGCTATGCCCGTAACTGGACACGGTCTTCTCGGCGACTAACTGATGAGGATACGCCGAGTAGTAGATCGGCGAGGCGTACGGTATTTCGTGAGCGGCGAGCGTGGGCACCGCGACGTGCGACTCGACGGCCAGCGGTTTCGCCGCCGCGACCAATGGACGCGCGTCGTGGATCACTTGGTGTCCGTGGGCCTCGATCGTTTTCTCGGCGACCAGGGAGGCCTTCGCCACCGGCTGCACGATCTCGGCGATCGGCTGCTGCACCAGCGCGACGTCCGCGTATCTCAACAGCGCGGGCGAGACCGCGGCCACCAGCGGCGACGGATGCACCACGTTGCTGCCGTGCGCCTCGACGACCTTCTCGGAGACGAGCTTGCCGACAACGGGCGTGAGAATGGTTCCACATTGCACCGCGGCGATGCTCGCCAAGACGGAAATAACCACCTGCGAAAGAGAACGTTTGCCGCGGATATGAAACCTCCGGATGATCTCGGGAAGAATAGGACGCCGGCGGCGTCAATATTTTCCGACCGTCTTTACACTCCCGGCAGATCGGAAAATTGGATGCTCTCTGTTGTCAAAGTGTGCTCGGAATAATGATTGCCAGCTCGATTGGATTTAACCCGTTAATGCTCATTACTCGTTATTTTATACATGTCGAGCGAGTAACGAATAATGAGCATTAACGGGTAAAATCCAATCCGAATTGGCAATCGTTATTCCGATGAAACATATTTACATTTGTGTGATTATTTTCAATTAATTATTTTTAATTGTTTCGACGATATTGCCAATTGCTTTGATTTGTTCGGGGGAAATTGATTTTTCGCCCCATGCTGTTAAATAGCGCCAAGTTAAGAAACGTCGATCTTACCAGCTTAAACATCACGATAGGTTTTCACTACTTTTGGATCAGAACCTGGGACTGATCTGCACGCACGCGGATCTACGCATGCTTATATAGGAGAGCGTTTCCGCGATCTCTTCGCGAGAGACCTTCAAGGTCCGTGCAATAAGAACTCAACGCCCTGCCAGTCTATAGGATGTGTCGAGAAATATTCAATGCGCCGAAGGCACGTTCTTGTTCGAAAATATGTACGTGTGTAAAATACATTCCTGTGAACGTATTTCTTGTTGGCGTAAAATATTAAATATTATCGGAACGAGCCCGACAGGAATTCCCTTCAACTCGGGGAAATTTTGTTTCGCGAGTGTATTTTTCACTTTAAAGGCTTTCTTATCAACAAGTATGCCACGTAAATAAAATTGGAAGTTAAATGCAGTACAACGTTTACAGTTGGACATAGATAATTCCACGGTTGAGACGTGAATATTACCAGTCGCGAGAGAAAAATTGTGAAACAGATTAACGCGTTGCGAAAATCGAGGATGATGAGGGATGTATGGATTACGTTTTTGTCGGCTGTTGGTTCTGAAGGCGTTAAGCTTTTTGTCATCGCCGTGAGCTTGTGGGGTACATTTGACGATCGAACAAAGAGGCTTCGCGATCTTGAGACTTTACTTTTACTCCTCGCCTCCTGCTAACAATAAGCACATTACGCCATAGAAACCAGGAGAAGTGGTGCTCCTCGGAGGGACGCAACAAAAAGCGCTCGAGCGTGAAATTACGGCCGAAAACGCGCTTGATCTTAATGATCTCATTTATCAATTTCTGCTGGATGTACGACATTAAGGACGGCGATTTCGACAAGAGACAGTGTCACAATTGAAGAATGAAAGTAATTAAAGTAAGATCAATCAACCGTGCTCGAGTAATCGGCGGATTATTAAAAAGGGAACAACTAGCGATTCTATTAGGACAAAATAAGCCTTTGTAGAGTAGTTTCTAAATGTCTGTCTCTCCAGACTCCTCACATTCGTGAAGATATTCTCAAGACAAGATTATATCTTACAATTAGCACAATTTATTTTCTAACGTGAAACGTTCGAGTTTTTTCCCGGATTCGACACGTTCGATACGTACACAGTAGCATCCGTGCAGACGCTATCTACAGTTCTCCTGCGCGAAACCGTAGGTGCGATATTGAATAATTCGCCAAACTCCCCTCTCCGTCTCACGGGGACTTTTTTAAAGCTCCCATAAAGAATTTAACAAGTTAGGTTCGTGAAAAGTGCATGGGCGGGTTTGTATGTTCCCTGTAAATATATTCAATACGTGACCCGACGGCGCGCGGCAAAGTTTCGCCTCGCGAACGCCTAGACGGGGGACGGGAGCCCAAAGCCGAAACTCAAACAACCGTTGATCGCCAAGTCGGTAAACAGTTTTCATCGAGTCGTTCCAAATCCTATTTTGCGAAAATCCTCACGTAAACGGATAGGTAGGTGGACGTACTCCATGCGGGCGTGGCGTTATGTGCTAAAGTAGAAAAAAAATTATAAGGACGAAATCACTCCGTGATCACGACGCTCCGTTGTTTGCCGATCGCCCTCGTGCGAGGGGGAAGCTCGGGTTCTCCGGGTATGTGCGAGGAAAAATCTGCGATCCTCGATAAGCTCTGGGTGGTACGTGATACGGAGGAATTAGCTCTACAGCAACGCGGCCACCCAATGAGGTAGAATTCGATAACCGAATTCGCTCAGGTCGACAATAACATGTTAGGCGAGCTACTTCGTGGCTCTAATACGTACGAGGAGTAAAAATAGACTCGAAGATTACGAGACAATGTTTAAAATATAAAGACGCGAGCTCCGACAATAGCAGGCACCGAGTACATCCTCGTAAGTCGAAGGTATTAAATAAAGACTGAATACATAACGCATTTATTTAAAGGCAGAAATGGCAACTTTATTGATCAATCGCAGCCGATCGGTCGTTTCGACCGTGTAGACACGCTGATACAGGTTGAGTCAAGGTGCCTGGTTGATCGATGGTTCGGTCGATTCGGCCGGTCGTTCCGATGGATCGTCATCGCGTCCGGATGGTTGACAGAGGACATCTTCGCTGTCGGCGTGTCGATTGTCTCAGGCTGGCGGAAACCGTGGTTAATGAGTGGTTAATGAGTCCTTAGTGAAGAGCGACGATGGGGGCATGGGCGGCATAGGCCACGGGGGCATGGGCGGCATAGGCCACCGGTGCGTGAGCGACGACGGGAGCGGCGGCGACGTACGGCGCGGTCTTCAGGATCGGCGCGGTGTAGGCGACCGGTGCGGCGGCCACGAGCGGGCTCTTCACAGACACCTTGTAGGTGTTGGCGTAGCTGGTGGCGACCGGGACGGTGTGGGCGACCGCGACCGCGGGTGCCGCGACGATCGGCGCCGCGTGGAGTGCGGGCGCCGCCAGGTAGCCGGGTGCGGGCGCGGCCGCGACGCAAGCCAGCACGGCGAGGAAAACGATCTTGTACATGGTGGCTGGATACGTTGCTTCGTACTTCGGCGGAGCACTGAAGAGCGAGTGGTGCCTGAACACGGCGTCTAGGACCCCTTATATTCCTCGGGGCTGACCTCTCCCACCTCTCACGGGCCACCCGGCCCGGGCCACAGGTTCCTGTTGCCTTCCTCACGTCGCGTCGCTTGTACCGCGCGATTGCCCGGTCCTCTTTTTTTTTCTTTTTTGTTGCACGCCGGCCACTTGTTGGAGGAGCACTGCCAAGGACTGCCTGATCGTTCGTGGCCTCAACGCGGGCCCTTCACCGCCGACGTATTTCGTACCCTCGTGCGAAACGTAGCCTCGACGGAGTAGTCGATCATCGTTTTGTTTCTCCGAGAAGGACGCGGGAAATGCTCGAAAGGGCGACCATGATTGTCGATGGCCTTATCTCCGAGCTCTCTTTGTTTGCGCATACAGGATGCTGGGATGGAGAGGTTCAATGACATAGCCTCGACTATCGATCATCAAACTCTCGACAGTATAGCCGTGTCCGGAACAATCATACGTAATTATCAAGCGATTTATTGCGTGTGTACATATTAGCTTTCGGACCAACCGACGGACCCAAAATACGAGCTCGAATTGCCTCGGGCAACAACGATGTTTAGAGCGGCTTGTCACTTCCTCGATTAATTCTTGACGCACAGAGAGACACGGCAATCATAGCCGCCTAATTGATGACGTCGGTCAGAGAACGCACGGACAATTGTGTTATCGAACTTTGCTTTCTTGCCACAGTAATTTATTACAGCCGCGAGATGCGAATATTTAAACAATGAAGATACGTGTCAGCGAAACGTTGGACCGGCGGGGTCTGAGTTAAAATTGTTAACCCGTTCGCGCAAAGGACGCTCCCAGGTTGTTTGCCCTGACTTTGGTCGTTTAGGAGGCGCAACGCTTCTCTTCCTCTTTGTGCTTTACCCCATTTTAATGCTTATGAATTGCAACGATTTACGAGCCGGGTCGCCTTGCTCGCGGGTGTCTCTCTCTTTCTCTCTCTCTCTCGACGGTCGGGCGGTTTTATTCCACGTGAAACAAGTATACGTTGTTCTAACAAACTTATATGCACAACAACTTGTGTATGCATAACTTTTTTCTCAGGGTTTTTTCAAAACTCGCTCACCTGAAAAGTTTTTTAAAACTTCCAACTTCTGAGTCTATGATTATTTAGGAACAATCCGCGAAAAATTAACTTTTTTTCTCAATTGGATACTTGAGAAGAAAACTCTTCTCCAGTAATTTTTAATTTATTCATAAATTAAATCTATTCTTCTTAAGTTTCTAGATTAATCCCTTTCTCTTTCTTTCTCTCTCGCAACATATCGTCTCTCGGACTCCGTGTCGACAAACGTTTCCCTAAAAAATTTTCCAATTATTACATTGTCTCCTTCAACTTCTGTATTTATCAATGTAGAAAATTGCTAGACGACGCCCGCCTAGAGTGTAGGGAAGTTCAGGTTCAAACCCTGGCCGAGGTGATATTTTTCGCAATAAATTTTCTGTATTATTAAAAATGCCAGGTATGGTCAAGAAAACACTGAAGTTATAATATAGATTATTATATTCCTAATCGAGAATTAATCATCGAATAACGCGAATGGTAGCTACGCCCACGAGGTCCAATGCCGATGGGCAGTCGCAAGCCAGGATGAGGAGGGGGAGGTAGGTTTGAAGGAGAGACATTGTGACACAAGTCGCGAAAGTAGATGCTCGACTTACACAATTTCGCACGACGCACCTCGCATACGACAGCGTGACGCATGGGACGGACGAGGCGCGTGTGCGTGTGTCTCTTGTTTGCGTCCCGTGCGTTCGTCCGTTCCTTGCGCAATCACGCATCGGCAATGACACTGCGTGACAGCTCGCACTGACAAAAATCGCAGCGACTCCCGGTGACAACCGGTTGGACGTACGTAACGTCGACTAACGACCGCGCTTCTCTACGCAACGGCGTGCGCGTGCGGAATAAAATATCACGCGTCTTTACGCAAGGTGCATCCGTCGACCCCTTTCTGTCTTCGCTGTTAATTGCCAAATTACAACGAATACCGCTGATGCATATCAACATTTCACAGACCGCGCTCCCGTGACTGAAATTTATAATGCATAGGTTTATAGATTTATACACGAACATTTAATATATTATTCAATTGATGAATTGATAATTGTGGCACCGCAAATTCGTTTCCGCGATAGGCGCTATGTAATTATTTACACGCGGTAGACCATTGTTACAATCATCAATTTTATACACGTAGATTATTTCACCCCCCAGGAGGGAGGGAAACTGCATATTGTTCCAAGTGCAATATCGTTAAAAGGCATAACGATTAACAATCAATAATTACACGATTACCCGGTCTGCCCATAGTCCGAGCGGTAAGACCGGCTGGTCCAAGCCCCCTTCGCTCGTCTGGCCCACCCAGAGCGGTCCAAATCCTCTCGCACGGCGAAATCTTGCCGAATCCGGAAGACCTTGGCCCACGGGCGTGCGGGGTCTCAGCCACTTCTAGATCACGAAGATGGGAGCGACGGGAGGGAACCAGTTCTCTCCTGAATAAAGGGGGGCCCAGTCCTATAAAAATGTGCCGCGAAACGGACCTCGGTATCATAGTCGAGTAGTGACAACTCGGACAATCCTCGCAAGAGAGCTGAAGCTTTATCGCCGACACTCCTCGCCGTCATGTACAAGTGCGCCGCTCTTCTCGCTCTCCTCGTCGCCTGCGTCGCCGCGGCGCCCGCACCCGGCTTCCTGGCGTCCGGGTCCGCGATCGCCGCTGCGCCCGTCGCGTACTCGGCACATCCCGCGCCTATCGTCCACGCGGCCGCCCCGATCGCCTACGCCGCACACGCGGCTCCGCTCACCTACGCCGCGCACGCAGCCCCGTTCGCCTACGCCGCGCACGCGGCTCCGCTCGCGTACGCCGCGCACACCTCGCACGTCGCCTACGCCGCACCTGCTGTCAGCTACATCCACTAAAATGGACCGGCACGCACCTTCCTTGGGAGCACGACGAGGCCGACTCCCCATTGTCCGAGCGACAATGTCGTCCGGCTGTTCTCTTTACTCTCGCGAAGGAAGGAAGACCTAATTTACCCTCGCGCATGTAATTTTTATTATGTCCAACATGCCGAGATCAAAATAAACTAATATCTCATCCAATCGTTATCCGTTTATTGACACGCGACGTCTCCACGCGTCACCTCGCTGATCCACCGCCTCCACCGCGCCGATCCACGGCGGGGCGTTGACACGTTCGAAACGAGTATGTATTTCGTCGAGCGGAAGGTAATCCTCTTTGAGTACTTAGGCTTCAAAGAGAATTTTAATGATGGCCTGCGTCGAAACGCTCGCATTATGCACAAAGCCAAATGCACTCGTAAATAAATCACGAAGCCTCTCGGCCGATTTACGTAAATTAATATCGGCGTAATTTCGACAGTCCGCGCCGATCCAACGGAGGGTCTAAGGATTCCCTGAGCATTTCCGGAAGATCACGCCAAGCGATAGATCGGTGTATTTACGTATCGATATATACATATGTAATTAATCAACCATAATTGAGAATGGGCGAAAAGCGTTCGCACATAAAATTTTTCCCGCCATACGTCTCTCACGAGAGACAAGCGCCGCTACAAAGTGCTTTGTTTAATATATATATCAGCATAAACGCAACGCATTTTAACAGAAACACTTTGCAGAAATGCGCTTCTTTCCCGCGCAAAATTATTCCGAGGGAGAGAGGCGAGTTATGCAAATACTTTTATTCGTCGTCTAGCGTTTCCAAATATACCCGCGACGCGGCTGAATATTTAGCGAAAAACGAATTTAGCGGAAATAGATATTCGCGCGGCGAAGAGACAGCTCGCGCTCGTAGATCACGCGAATATCGAGTTCGCGAGGTCGACGGGGCCGCGACATCGCCGTAGAAAGTCGCGCGGCGCGACCTTCCCTGAGCGAGTCGCATAACTCTCGTATACGCAACAACGCCCATCATTCATCGTAGGGACGTCGCTCAAAGTCGCCTGCTTCGCGATCCGAAAATAAACCCGGCCCCGGCGCTTTATTATTACGCAACGTTGACAACGCCGCGCTCTTATTACACGCCGCGCATACGGGCTCCGGGCTCCGGGCGACGTGGTAATTGACAGTACGTCTATATCACGCCCGCGCGATAGGATTGATACGCCGTGTTACGATGCCGCGTTTATATTCGCTTTACAATGGGAGACGCGCGCGAGGCATTAATTACAACGCATCCGTGCGATGTTGATGGAAAGATTGCGCCTGACACGGTGCAACGGGCGGCTACTGTCTCTCGGCCAAACCGCGCATGTTTTCAAATGCATTCCAAGTATTAGGCGGGAAACGCACGCGTGATATCAAAGTTATTTTTTTATCAAAGTTATTTTTTATCAAAGTTAGCTTTTTATCGCACGATTCTCCGCGTTGCGGAAACGCGTAAAGGGCCGAATCAGACTAGCAATTGCTGACTCGGATTGGATTGGGGTTGGCGACTGACGATCGTCCTTTAGCCAATGAGGGGATTAAATCTCTGGCCGCTTTGCTCCCATTGGCTGAAAGACAATCGCCAGTTCCGATCTAATCCGCGTCGACAATTGCTAGTCTGATTCGACCACGGTCTAAATACAGGTCTAGAAACGACGGTGATGAGGGGTTGTCTCTCTTAATATTCTCATTTTTACCAACGTCAGTGTTTTCTTGACCATACCTGGCATTTTTAATAATACAGAAAATTTATTGCAAAAAATATTACCTCAGCCAGGGTTTGGCTGTGTTATTAAAAATGCCAGGTATGGTCAAGAAAACACTGACGTTGTTAATTATCGCTGGCGACACTGAAGAATTCTTATTAGTTCTCGCTTTTACTTCGATTTTCAGCCGCAAAGTGCACTATGATAGAGGGATATCATGTGCGAGACAGAGACAGAAGTAGCAAACTTTTTTCTTGCACGTATTCCTCATAAATGATTGGGGTTAGCTAACCTCGATCACGTATAAAGTAATATTTTTAATTTCTCTTCGTTTTTTTATATAAAGTCGACTGTCCCTGGTTTTGTCTTTATACGTACTTTAGCCGTGTGGAAGAATTTTGCAATTTTATAAAGCCAATTTCAAATTTAGTTGGAACTACGGACTGAAAATATCAAATACCAATATCTTTTTTACTAGACTTCTAAACTGAGTGTTTCAAGTACGAAAATATTCTGCTGTGCGGTCTGCAGCTTATCCTGGTATTATTTTGTGCGCAGAAGCTAATAAAGAGAATTACAAGCGCAAAAATATTTGACTATATTTGACTGCGTCGATAAAAAGGACGGCTGAGGGATTCTCTTAACGGAGACACCCCCACCACTCGAAATTCGATGTCGTTTCCAAACCTGCGTATACGACCGTGGATTCGGCCTTAAGGCTGATGGCGGAGAATGGTCCGTAAATGCTTAGACGTGAGGCAGAGAAAAAACTCAAGTCGTAAAAGGGTATTGTACAACTTGAGTTTTTCCCTGCCTTGCCTTACGTCTGCGACTAGGACAGACTTAAACGTTTACGGATCATTCTCTGCCATTAGCCTAACCGGGTAGGCATCTCGGACTCGATCTCGCTCTTCTTTAAGGGATCCTATTCTCGCGTTCTCTCCTTCTCGCGTTAGCCGCGATAATAATGTTCCACTCTGCGTATTCGTGCAGCCGCCTGTTTAATTAAGGTTGATTTGTATCGCGACAAGTAGGGAAGTCCCGCGGACTTCCGACCGGCTTCATCACCGCCGGCTCCGGAAAATGGAGCACGGCCGCGATCGCGTTCGCTTTTTCCACGGTCGCCACGGAGGGGAAATCCATTTTCGTTTTCCGGGGCGTTTCACCTTGAGGACGACGTCGTTCGCGTACGCGCGCATTTCTCGAGTCCTCTCGACCCGTCGCGGCGCGATGCGATGCACGAAAACGAGTCGGGCATGGGCGGAGTCCGCGAGGCGACGACCCTGCTCCAATAAATCTGGAACACGATCGCGTGCAGCGATAAGTGAGAAAGTAAATAAATAAATGAGCGACTGTCCGCGGCCCGGGCCCGTGACGTCGTAATATTTTAGTAATTTCGCCAGTACGCGCTCTCGGCCACTCTCAGACTTGACGAAGAATAAACGAGAAGCGCTCAGGCAGCGCACGTCAATTAATACACGGATTGCCCACGTAACATGCACCGAATGCCCTTTTTTTACGGCGAATTCTGCGACTAATTTGAAGCCCATTTTCACCCTCGAGCATGTTAAAACGCTAATCATTTTCGACATAATTGGCGCGCTTCTGGCAAATTAAGCTTCGAGAGACCCGACAGGCAACACGATCACGTTTCTCGATTAATTTCAAGTGGAGTTTATTACGACAGAGTTTCAATTCAAGGCTCAAGGTTCGGATTATAAAAATGTATTAAGAGGGCAAAATTATTTCTGGAAATTGAGCACAAAGTATGGTGACTGACAGGTCGACATGATTGACGTTGGTACTTCTGGGACGCCCGCTCGTGCTGTACAAATTAAATTCATGTGAAACGAGAACGCGCAATATTTATCGACCTACCTTGGACAGAGATGTTGATTTTAAACATTTCGAATCAAACACTTGCGTGCGTGTACCGTACAAGTTAATCGCGTCCGACCTTGCTTTTATTCAAGACGGCGAATGTTATCTTTGACACATTGAAATCAATAACGTTCCTCGTGTCTAAATAAATGGAGATAAACTGAGCGTTATCTAAAAGTCAAGCGTCCGATTCAGTTTATAAGATTACCGAAATCTTGGGTAGATTCGATTCCGATATTCACGTTATTTATATCAGGCTAACAACTTTATCGATTCGTACGAATTTAGAGGACCGCTTGAGAAATCTTTTTAGCCACCTGCGTTGGAATATTCGAGTAATGACCGCACGAAATGCGCGGTCAAACATCGGGAAGATAATACCGCGATTTTAACGAGGCGAGCGTTACATAAAGCGCTCGTTATTATATAAAATCGAGAGATTGAAGTTACGCCAAAGTAAAAGGACCAAAACGAGCCGATCGGGATAAACAAAGTTTGCGGGTGCCTCGCCTTAGCCTTGATCTACTCTTAAGCCTCGCTTCTTCCTCGCGCTCGTTCAACACCTCCTTCTCACATTATTACGCAACGCTCTTACGCTTCGCTGGATGCACGGATGGATGGACGGATGGATGGTTGGTTGGATGCTCTGGGACTGAGTGTACATATAAAAGCCGCTAACAATCGTGTGCTCAGACGTGACGGATCTCTGCGGGCGCACGGTCGCGATACGGGCCGATACCGATCGGCGTGTCTTGAGATGCTGGTGGAACGAGCTGCTAAAATTGCAGCAACCGCGAAAACGAAAATTAATGGTCGTGCAATCGGATAACACGTAACTAAGGAATTTTACGTGCGCGCAATACCAAAGTTGATTCGAATAATTGGCCGGATGACGTAAATGCCCGAAAGATATTTAAGATTGCCCTAATTTTCCTTCACGGTTCCCTACCAAGGGCCAGTTTCCCAAACGTCGGTTAACTGTTAACCAGAGTTCAGTCAACTCCCTAACTTTTTCTATCTTATTACCTAAGAAGAGACAGAGAATCAATGAACCTTCGGTTAGCAGTTAACCGACGTTCGCGAAACTCGCCCTGAGGAAGGACGAACTTTGGACGTCTTTGCTCCGTTTAGGTATCACGGCGACTGGAGTCGCCGTCGAGATGCGCTACAAGAAATAGAGGCGGCGTAAAAGATGAAAATGTGTATTATTAACGTATCATGTACATAGCCGATGACAATGTTCGTGGCAGCGCGGCAGGCTGCGTCGCCGGCCGTTTACAAATCGGACTTGTCGAGGAAGACGTTGCCCCGAGACCTGGGCCCGGTGGTCCCGCTCAGTGGTAGTAGCCACCGTATCCATAACCGTGGCCATAGCCGAGTCCGTAGCCGTAGCCGAGACCATATCCAAGACCGTGGCCGTATCCAAGACCGTGACCGTATCCAAGACCGTTGTTCAGATAGGTGGTGACCGTTGGTGGAGCCGAGTATCCATAGTGGCCGTAGCTCACCGCGGGTGCAGAATAAGACGGGGCGTAGGCCACCTTCGTGATGGGCGCGCTGTACGCCACTTTCGTGATGGCGGGTGCAACGGCGAGCTTAGCGATGGTTGGAGCTACCGCTGGGTACGAAACCTGGGAACGAAACGAGGGAGAATTGTATTCCGTCTCCGTATTAATTAATTTTATTTCGCGTACGTGAATTAAAATTTTATTAAAAATTTTCGTTCTCCTTTAAAATGTGCGCTCGGTAATTGTACCGTGTGTTCCCCCCTCCTCCCCGTCCGGGGACCGCGTTATTTTGCTGAAATAATAATGCAAAACCTTATTTCCACTGAATTCATTTTGCGCGAGAGCTCGTTTATGGATTACAACGAGTGAAACCGGAATTTTCCTCTGGAATTTGCCCAGGCCATTGGCGAAGCTACTCCGGCACGCTGATAATCCTTCCCTCCTTGTGCCGGTGACATGCCCTGCCGTTTGAGAGCTCACTTTACTTACCTTGTACGTGTTGGCGTAGCTGGTCGCAACTGGAGCGTGCGCGTATCCGTACGAAGGTGCGATCGCTACTCCATGACCCAAGCCGTAGCCGCCGTAGCCTCCGTAGCCGCCGTAGCCGTAACCACCGTAGCCGTAGAGCCCTCCGTATCCGGAGTAGAGGCCGGCGGACGCGTAGGCGACAGTGGCGAGAAGGACGATCTGCGATAAAGTGTAGATACGCGTCAGGAACGTTTCGAATTGCCTTTGCACATAAATCACGACGGAAATTCTGGGCGGAATCTGATGCACAGCCCGATACGTTGTGCAACGCAGGAAACATTTGCGGAAACGAAATTGCAATTATGAAAGTGTTCCACTTTTACAAACGGATATGCGGGGCGAGGATCTGTTGAAAAAGTTTCTCTAAGGTTTTGTTCTTCAATGGAAAATGAAAAAGAAAACCGGAAAGATAGAAACGTAGAAAGGGCAAAGAGATGAACATACAATGAACACGAGAGAAATTAAAACAGCGCATTTCTGGAGAAACACTTTGCGACCAATTTTGCTTACGACCTCGGACTTGCATATGCGAGATTATCCTAAATGATAGTACGAAGCTGCTCTAAGCGAGCGGCTTGCGTCGTCGCGCATAGCCTTCGGCTTTATTTACGCATATCCAGGATGATTTCAAGCGCGTATCATACGATATGAATGAAACAAGCGTGTTCCAGCACGATAAAATCATGCCCGCGGCGACAAGTAAAGTTCACAGCAAATGTTACGTCCGAGCATTTCTCACGGTATTGCGAGTCAACCGACTCTTTCGCTCTCTCTCCCTCCCTTTGCCTCCGTAGTTTCAGATAAGTCTAATCTCCACATAAAAGCAAAGTTATAAGAGCACAAATGTCATTTCCGAAATACGAATTCTTTAGCACCTGGCGTATTCCTCTCCCGTGCAAACAACGCCCGACGACTCGGTGTTGTCTTGCAAACAGTGTCTTAAAAAATGGAAAGGGTCCGTTTTAAAAAGCCGAAAAATGATACAAAGTTTCGTGCATACGGGAGGTATCTCCGTATCGTCCGGGGAAAAACCGCGCGGAATACGTACGCGCACTCCCGACGAGAAAAGTTTCGCCGGGGCTCGGCCGCCCCGAGTGCCACGGGTGCTTCACTCACCAGCTTAAACATGTTGCTCCAAGTGCTTGGCGATCTCTTGTCGGTACTGTGGACTGACTACATCTCGTGTACCCCGTCGGATCACTTATATATCCCCCGGCGGATTGTTTTTGCTCACGCTCGCGCGTCAAAAGATCCAAGGGGGAGAGATGCGGAAAAAAGTTTTTCCCTGCCAATCGCGGGCGAGGCGAATTCGTGCGTGAGGCGAACGGCGTGGGGCCCCCCGATTCCCCGGAGCCCCACCGCCGATAGTGGGGTGCGTGTGGATCGGCTCGGACCCCGGGACTCGTTACGCGCTCACCTAGATCCTAGATCCTTCGCGGTGCCGCGAGTGACTCGAGACGCGCGGTCTCACCGCGTTCGCACGAAGGACGAAACCATTATCGGCCCAGGCGGGAGAAAAGGAGAGAAGAAGAAGAGAAAAAAGAAGTATCGGTCGTTCGATTCGCATCGTGAGAAAAAGCGCGTCCGTGCCACCTTGAGCGCACACGCGCGCGAGCGCGAGGGAGGAAAGGAGAGAGGTTCTCCCTCGTCTCTCTCTCCTTCTCTTTACCGTCGGCCCCGGCCACTCTCAATCGCTTTCTGTAATTATTCGCGCGTCTATGATCTTGTCTGTGCTCCGCGAAGCGTGAACAGAGCAACACGGGGACCTCGACCGATCGAATGTGGCACGCGGTGGTGCGGAGATGATACCGGCGACACAGGGAATTTTCTCTCTCTCTCTCTCTCATATTTCTCTTACGTTTTACCATAATTTTCTCTCATTACAATTTTTTACATTAGCATTTATACTAGCTTCTTATATTATCGCAAATTTACCTGATGAATTATCTGTTTTTTTTCCTGCCGCGTTGTCATAAATTTATCTACCTTATCTTTACATACCACTTTTATATATTATAAAAGAAAATTCAGTTTAGATACGTTTTCTCGCACGTTACGGGTATTATTATCGGGTGTTATTATTGTTTTATACCTTTATATATTTTATTTTATTTTCTATATTGCCTCTCCGCTTTTCCCGATAAATGCATCGATCTCGATGCTTCCACGTTCGAGGATGAGTGGGTGTGTCAACGCGAGTGTCGCTTCCGGTCGTCATCGGAGCGAAAAATGAATCATCTCGCGTATGCAACGAGCTCGTGGAAATGCGTCCTCCGTACATAACTAGCGTAACAATACATTGTACAACTCGATTATTCATGGAATTCGCGCGCTCAGAGAGACATAATAATGCGGATCGCGGGCGTAAAAGAAAAAAGAAAATGATAAAAAAGAATAAAAAGGAACGGAGAAAAGAGAGGTGGCGTACTTCATTAACCGCGGAACAAATATTTTTGCGTACTCTTTCCTCGCTCGCCTCGCTCAATGTCGTATATACCTGCAGCCTTGCCGGTCGCGGCGGATTATCTTCGTCCTTATTGCAACTCGTGCTTACACGTCACCTCGTATACACCGCCGGTAAACACACAGTGGTAACGCGAGCGTGAAAAATTTCCGCATAATAAACGTTTACCATTCACTGTCGCCTTCCTAATAAAGTGTACGCTTCGTCATACATATGCATATACCTCTCGCCCTTAAGAAATTTTTTATTAAATCGCCTATTTCCGCTTCCAGCTTCGACGTAGGCTGACTTATGAGGCTGGAGAACAACTTTGTTGCGTGGCCCACGTTTTATTTACAAATTCTTCTGACCAATTTGGCACCGCGTCTTCCCCCAACGAAGGCGTTTATTTCTCCGACGTTAACATCACATGTTTTACGAAAAGTACACTGAGAAATATGTCCGATTAAGGCCCGGTTTCACCAACGTCGTTTAAGCTTAGCTTAATTCGTTCTTTGTCTTTTTCCAACCGTGTTGAATTAAACCGAGATTAAGTTAAGCGACGTTTGGTGAAAGCGGGCCTTAATATAATCGGATAATCCAATTACATAATAACAAACGGATATATCCGATGAAAAACATGACCGGTTTTTCCAATTAAATTTCATCGGTAACTGCATTTCATCGGATATGTCCATAATTCAATCTGAAAAATTAACCGTCGGAAACACTATTTAATTGGTTTATCCGATGGACATTTTTCCTCGGTGTAGCCTTCGACAATTTACATCTGAAGAGAAATTTTACAGAGCTGGTCGCTCTGCTAATCCTTTCCCCCTTTTTTTTTCATCATTGCGAATAATTTTCCGTTAATTTTAACGGGCTGGCATTTGTACATACATCGGAATTAAACGGGCGAAATTCGCTATATATCCTCCGCCGGGTTTCGCTGGCCTTTTTTCCCGCGTTACGCGGCCATTTGTAACCAACCCTAATGGTTTACGATGCGATTAACCCGCCTGCGCGCCTCCGGTTACCTGCCCTTACGTGCGCCCGCGGGGCACGCCTAGACCGATCGCGAATTGGGGCTAACGAAGATAAATATCGGCGCGATACGCGTATATCGCAAGTGAGATACGCCACAGCGTGCCGTGTGTATTGTATATACGCGAATTCTCTTTACGTGAAACGCAAAATGTCGCAGCAAGACAAACGGCCCGCTGTCTCCTGCCTCCGGGCCCGCGGGCGATCGATTTTTAAAAGACGGCCGGCTGCCGAAGGGAGAGCGATGCATAGTCGGGTGACGATGCACAATGCAGTACCTGCGACGGTACGTATACAGGGTGTCCCGCTCGTTGAACGTTAATTTTTCTTACCCCGATTTTTACCAGCGTCGTTTAACTTTGATCTCAGTTTAAGTCATCTTTCGTTCCTTTCTAGGGGAACAGTTAGGCCCGATTTCACCAACGTTGTTTAACTTTAAGCTCAGCTTAATTCGTTGTTTGTTTCTCTTTTCAATTGTTACTGTAAACGAGACAAACCAGAATTAAACTAAGATCAAAGTTAAGCAACGTTTGGTGAAACCGGGCCTTAGAAAGGAACAAAGGATGAATTAAACTAATGAATTAAACGATTAAGCAAACAACGTTGGTGAAATCGGGCCTAACTGTTCCCCTAGAAAGGAACGAAAGATGACCTAAACTGAGATCAAAGTTAAACGACGCTGGTGAAAATCGGGGTAAGAAATTAAAAGATGAATTAAACAATAAGGTCAAAGTTAAGCCTAAGGCCCGGTTTCATCAAACATCGCTTAACTTTAATCTTAGTTTAATTCATGTTTGTCTCTTTCTATAGAGTAACAGTTGGAAAGAGACAAAGAACGAATTAAGCTAAGCTCAAAGTTAAGCGACGTTGGTGAAACCGGGCATTAGGGCCTCTGTGGCCAACCTCGGTTCGATTAACCGACGGTGAAAATGTGCAGGAAGCCAACAGAAAATAGAGGCGAAGAATAATCGTGTCCATTGGAGTATCCGCTGGCCACTCTGCATATTTTGACTCGGTTAATCCAACCGAGGTTGGTGAAAGAAGCCCTTAAATAGCGGATCTCTCGGTCAATTGGGGAATCGGCTGTTTTTTTAGTGAAAACACCGAGCGCCAGATAACCTTCGTATTACGAGTGATTGGAAAAAAGAAAGTTCCCCTCGCGAAATAATTCGCAGAGGCCGAATGGTTTATGTAATACGTTCGTTAAATTTTAGGCGGAATTTACGAAATCCCGACTCGCCCGAAGCTCGCTTATTATAAAGATACGCGACGCTGAAGATGGAGAGGCTACGATAAACGATGATAGTAGAGTCCAAATTGACCAAGGAGCCCGTCGTTGAAGAAAATGCCGCGCGAGAAGTTGGACACCTTGTATCTAAAGCCGAAGGGGAATTAAATCCGTTAACCCGTGAATCCCGCGCGCGTTTTACGTTTGATACATGGCATTTTTTATTTATCGTTCCATTTTGCTTATCGGACAACGTCAGCTCCGCCGTCGAATAAAGTCCGCCTGCTTATTCTATCGGCGTCGATGACGGGCGGCGACAAACACGTCCGCAAACACGTCCGCCTTCGCGGATGCGATAGGACGTATCGCACCTATTTTGTTTTTCTTTCTTCCTCCCGTAACGCAATTATGTAAGGTTGCTCGTGACCGAGGTCGTTAGCGAGAACCGGGCGAAGATGCGAGGACCGCGGGAAACCGCGGGCGAGAACGACACGCGGCGACGGAAACTGGAACACCGTGATCTAAATCCCGAGTTTATGCGTCTGCATTATTAGCATTAGCATTCCGTGTGTGGACCACACGTGTGGCTCGGACGCGGGGGGGGGGGGGGGAGGAGTGTCCGACCTCCCCGCCCGTTTCTGTCGCGGTTACGTAAACGCCCTCGCGGTAAGCAAATGCGGACGTGCGATCCCACGGAGGGCTTATCTCCGAATCTTGAAAATATATTCCTAAAAGATTTTTACAAATAGGAAAAGCGACGCATTATAAAGTTGCCGGGAGCTCAGCGGCGCGAGAGCGGCCGTCGTACGGTCTATGCATACATTTCCTTCCCCTTTCAAGAAAAAAAAAATATATATAATATTCTTTTAAGACGCTTTGGCGAGATAAGTCGTTCCGGATTCTCGGGCCTTCGCGGATCTCCGGTGTAATATTGACCGAGGACGCGGCTGACATTTCTCGCGCCTCTACTTTTCGCGGTACATTCAGGGATGCGTGACATCACGTCGCTTAACAACGAGTCCTCGACTCGGCAATTGTGCAATTATTGTTTGCCAATAATGTTCTCGATCGCAAGGGCCGCGCGACGTCGGCACCGGCAATCGGCAGTGATGCCGGCGTGATGTACGATCCACCGATACGCGCCCCGCCGCGATTTATTACGGCGCGTTATCGCGGCGTCGGGAATTGTAAAAGAATCGCCCCCGGCCGTGGAATGGAGTGTCCCGAAATAAATCGCCGAGTGATTTTTAGCCGGCTAAACGGGCCGTTGCCTGCGCGCCGTTGCTCCGCGGACGAAATGAATGGCATTTAATAAAATTAACATAAATGAATCGCGAAATTGAGCGGGCACTAAAATTGAAATACAGCGGGGATAAAACGTAACGAATTTAATTGCGAAGCGATATAACGAACACGCCGGTGAGTAACAGGGAATATTGCGGGCGTCGTGTCGCTTGGAGCGTGTAGAACGCGAGAAGAGGTCGGTTTCAATTTTT